AACTGTAAAGTTTGTTGAGCTTTTTGGATGTTTAAGATATTTTAAAAGAGGTATTTATTTTTACTTTATGTGAATGAGTATTTTGCCTGCATTTATATCTGTGCACTGTGTATGCAATACTCATAGATGCTAAAAGAAGATGTTGAATATCAGGGAACTGTAGTTACTGACAATTTGTTAGTGGGCATGTCGGTGCTGGAAACTGAACTCAAGTCCTCTGCAAGAGCAGTAAGTGCTTTTAGACATGGAGCCATCTCGGGAGCCTCATTCTTGGATGTTCATACTCACATCTTTTAGCAAGGTTGGGAAGTTCCTGGTCATTTACAATAAATCTTTTCAATAATTTCTATTGTTTCTCTCCTTATCCATAGACTCCTACATGTGGGGGGTTTTCTTGACGGGGTCACCCAGGCCCCATGGATTCGGTTTAGTGTCATTATTTTCTCTTTGCCCCTCAGATGCAACAGTTTCAAACAGCATACATAAAATTTGTAGATTTTTCTTTTTACTTCTCAAATATATTTTTGAGTCTTCATGCGAATTTTCTATTTTAGTAACTGTACCTTCAGCTCTAGAATTTCTTCTTGTTCTTGATTTTAGCTTTCTTATCTCTTTATTGACATTCCACTTTATTCATGTGTGGATTTCCTGGTTTTATCCACACATTTCTTTTGTTCTCTGAGCATTCTAAAGCTACTGTGTTATAGTAACTGTTTGCATATGCCTACAACTAGCTAGCTAGCTAACTAACTAAATGTGCTACAGTTACTGTCTCATAGGACCACCATCTGGCCATTCTGGACTCTTTCTCACTTTTATTTTCTTTTTCTTCCTTCTCCTCCTTCTAAAGGAGAAATACTTTATTTTCAATGGTTTCTTTTCTTTTTGTTTATGTGTCACGTGAGTGCATTTTCCTCAGAGTCCAGAAGGGGGTATCAGATCCTTTGGTGCTAGAATTAATCAGATGTGAGTGTCCTAACCAGAGTTCTAGAAACCAAATTTTGGTCCTTTGGAAGAGCAGCTAGTGCTCTTAACTACCAACCCATCCTCTCTCCAGCCCGGGCACAGCTTCTTTTGGTTTCCTTCTCCTCTTTGAATTACTCCTTCTTAGTCCTAGTTTCCAGTCGAGTTGGTAGTTCTACAGTGACCTCGAAAAGACACCTAACATTTGCAAGTTTTCATTTCCCAAGTTTTTAAATGAGAATTTGAGATTTATTAATTCAGTTAAAATCTACTGAGTGCTTTCTATGTACCTCTGAATTCTTTGACTTTCTTCTCTTGAGAAATAGTCTTTCCTTGAATATGGGTTCTGTGGCTATTTGTCCAACAGCTTGGAACAAGAATACTGCTGTTCTGGATTCTAGGTCAGACTTCAGGAAAATGTAACCCTCTACTTCTGGTCCTTGGGAGAACCGACTCTTGGAGTTGGCCACCATACTGTGAGGAAGCCCAAGCACCCAGTGGAGAGGCACACGTGAAGGGAGCCAACCTCTCCGTTAAAGCCCTGGGAGAGATTTGCAGTTGACAGCCAGTGGCAGCTTATTGCCAAGTGAGTGGCAAGTTTGAATTTTGATACCTCAGTTTCCTGCCAAGAAGTCACTGCTGGTGCCATATGGAACAGAGGTGCTTCCAGTTTATCCATTTTTAAATTAACTTAATCCATTCTTTAGAACAGAGCTGGGCAAAGAAATATAGTGTAAGCCACATAGATCGTTTTACATTTTCTAGTAACCACGTTGCAAAAAATAAAAGCAATCAGACCGAATTCCTTTTAGAGAGAAATTTGATTATATAAAAGTATTGGAATCCATCAATATATAAAAATGTTATAATTTCATCATGCAATGAAAATGAAAGTTATGAGCTAGCTTACATCCTTTTCACTACACAGGCTTGAAGTTTAGGGTGATAACTTACATAATCATATGGTCACTTGGGTGACTGTACTTAATATTCAGTTCAGACCAGCTAACTTTCAAATGCTCAACAGCCACATGTGGCTAGTGTTGCCTGCATTGGAAAGTGCAGCTCTAGAATGAGAGGGTTGGAACACAAGATTCTCTCACAACTTAGCACAGAAAGAAAACAGGATACACAGAAGGGAACTGACCTGGCTGGGGTTAGGCAATCCGGTGGTTAGAATGGTGCCAACCCCCATATGCCCATGTCACAATCCTATAACCCATGAATGCTATCCTGTCTTTTTGGTTGTGAACCCAGCCTTTAATGCCCGAGGCACCTCTCTAGACTAATCCACAAATATTATCTTATTTAGAAAAGGTCTTCCTAGATGTAATTAACTTAAGATTGTTGGGATAAAGAGATCATCCAGATTGTTGGGGGGAGCCTGAAATCCAATGACCAGTGTCCTTGTAAGACACACACATGGAAAATTACACAGGAGAGGAGATGGGCATGCCAAGGAGTAGGACTATAAAGACAGAGTAAGATGTGACACTGAGGGCTGGGGAGATGGCTCAGAGGTTAAGAGCACCGACTGCTCTTCCAGAGGTCCTGAGTTCAGTTCCCAGCAACCACATGGTGGCTCACAACCATCTGTAATGAGATCTGGCGCCCTCTTCTGTATACATAGTAAATAAATAAACATCTTTAAAAAATTATTAAAAAAAAAAAAAAAAAAAAAAAGATGTGACACTGAGCCACTGGAGGCAGGAGAGATTCCCATCTGAGTCCTTCAGATGGAATGTGGCCTGAGATACATTGATTTAGAATTTTTTAAAATTTGGATTTTTTAAATTTTCTGTGTTTGGGTGTTGCGCCTGCCTGTATGTATCTGTCTGGTGCCTGAGGAGGTCAAAGAGGTTGTAGGAACTCCTGACACTGGAGTTATGGATAGTTATGAAACATGATGTAGGTGCTGGGACCTGAACCCAGATCCTCTACAAGAACAAGTATGCTTAATCATTGAACTGTCTCTCCAGCTTCTAATTTAGAATTTTACCCTCTGGTAAGTATAACAAGCAATTCATTTCTATTTGTAGTCACTCCATTTTTGTGATACTTTTTGGCTGCCATGGAATTCAGTACTCAGCAGTATGAATGAAGTCTGGTCTGAAGAGACCTTGGCTCTTTTACAATTTAGAGCAACCTGCTTTCTTGTCACCTCTGAAGTCTACCAAATGCCCAGCAATTACTCCTTTAGGTGACCAGAATAGGGACTCCAGTGACTTGGACACACACACACACACACACACACACACACACACACACACACGTACACACACACACACACATACACACACACACGTACACACACACATACACACACACGTACACACACACACACACATACACACACATACACACACACATACACACACATACACACACACATACACACACATACACACACACATACACACACACATACACACACATACACGCACATACACACACACATACACACACACATACACACACACATACACACACACATACACACACATACACACACACACATACACACACACATACACACACACATACACACACACACACACACACATACACACACACATACACACACACACATACACACACACATACACACACACACACACACACACACACACACACACACACACACACACACACACCTACTGCCCTTCAGGCTTATGGGACACCATGCCTTGTTGTTCTTCTCCCTTGCCTCATCTTTTCAAAGGACCTCTTCATTGCTCTCTCTGCTACCACCCTTCCTTGTTTAAAGTACATTTCCCACGTAGTTCTGGGGTGATCTTTATACTGTGCCAGGCCCCATCACATTTTTTTAAATGGTTGTTGCCTCTTTTCTGTTCTAGACACAAAGACTGCCTTGCATGATGAGCTGGTTCCTACCCCAGGTCCTTTGCACTTCTTCTTTTCTCTGTTTAGAACATTCTAGGCTCAGACAGGACCATGGCTTCCCCTCCCCTTTACTCAGGCTTTTGTTCAGATGTTCTTAATCATAAGGTTTTTCCTGGGCACCGCCATTCTTTACTATGCTTTGATTTTTTTTTTTTTTTTTTTTTTACAGGACAGATTTTCACACCACTTGGTAGAGATTTGTTAACTGATAGATTATTGTTCATCATTCACATCCATTAGTCTCTAAGCTCCATGAGGGCAGAGCCTTTTATCTGTCTCATTTTAGTGCATGTGCAAGTGTGCAGCTGATTTTTGTTGCATGAATGAACAAATGAATGGATGAACTCAGGAATGCAAGCTCCATTTAATATCTTTTTTCCCCCAAGAGAACTTAGAGACAAAAAAAAAAAAAAAAGGTATTACAGTTTGACCTCTTACCTCTAAATATCTGGGTCCAAAAGGAACCTTAGTCCCCAACCTCCCTTCACATAGCTCTTCCAGGAATGGAATGGCTTTTAGGACAGCAGCCCTTGCAGCTCCAGGCCTGGACACCATGAAGTAGTTTGTTGTTACAGACCAAAGTCATTCGGGGCACTTGGTTCAAAAGACAGGATGTGGGCTGTGAGCCTCCAGTCCATCGTTCAAAGGTTCAAAGGAAATCTCCTTCAGTAGCAGTGTCTCCTGGGATGTTTTCCCAAGCTTCCCTGGGAGGTGCTGGGGCCTCTCAAAAGACTAAGAATAGATAGGCACATCCAGTTTCCCAAACATGTCAACCTTAAAAGTGAGTGCTATTTTTTTCCCTTGTTACCTTTGAATTACTATGTAGGAGAAGGACACTGTATTATAGGCATGGCTCCCCATGCAGTTGTTAGATACCTAATAATGACTCCCCACTCTGTAGCTTCCAGGCAGAGTTGTTGGAGCAATATGTAAGCTCTACCACTGCTGAGGTCCACCCCTTTGTCACCAGTGTGCTTTGTAGTTGGGGCCGCCCAGCCGCCATTCCACAACAGTGAGACTGTGTATACCTTGGTCACTCCCATCTCACCACTATGCCTATCCACAGAAGAATTAACCTGATCTGTATAGGTTGTTGTTGGGACTGAATAAGACTGCACATGCTGACACTCACCCAGCACTTAATGTTATTTTTTATTTGTGAACGTTTGCTGGTCATGGTACAGGTAATCTTCATTTACTCTGTCACTTACTCACTCAGCGCTCATTGGGCTTGTAGGAGGTGTCAGATGCTAAACTTGACACTGAGGGACGCGAAGGTATCATTGACAATGTCTGGGTTGTGTGAAAGAGTTCACTGACGCCATCCTTTGTTCCCAGGGTGTAGAGCAGGACAGGGATGGGGGATTTAGGTGCAGTACCTTATATAACACCCAATGTCATCGTCAGCTACCTTCCCATCCTTCAGGTCGCATCAAGGAGAGTGTGGCGTTGGATCTTAATGTGTCCTGAACACTTTGGAATTTCTTCTCCTAACAAGTAAACGAAGGCTTCAGTCTCACATGAGGACAGCACCTGGAGAGATTTTTAACAACATAAACCTAGGTACATCCAACCTTATAGAGCTTTTGTTTTAAGATACTGCACAAATATGACCAGAATTTGTGAAGCTGGGACCAAAGTGAATGACATTTAGGGAAACACTCATTTGTTATATTTACCTCTCCTCCTCATTAGCCTCATTTTACAGTTGGGGAAACTGAGTCCTTTTGTGGAGAGAGTTCTAAGGTTCGAGCAAGCAGAGATAAGTCTTCCTTGTGGTGGAGTTAGATATATATAACATAAAGCGAGCTCCTCCCGTACCTCTGCAGAACGTGTGTGTGTGTTTGTGTGTGTGTGTGTGTGTGTGTGTGTGTGTGTGTGTGTGTGTGTGTGGCCACAGGCCTTTCCGGATGAGTGACAGCGAAAGCCCATCCCTCCAGAAGACGCATGAAGAATGACCAATGGGATGGATGGAGGGTGTTGGGTACCAGTCTCTGCAGAGGCCAGGGTGAAACTGGCTGCGTCCAGCCTCTTCTACCCTCATTTCTCGGAGCCCCTCAGGCCCTTCGGCATTCGGTCCTGGCTGGGGCACTGGAGGTGCTCATCGTAATGCACTTGGGGCTGAGGAGGATATCGTGCTAGGGGTGCGGCTCGGGTCTGTCCAGCGCAGTCTGCGGTCCCCATGCTGCAGCGCTGCGGCTAAGAACACTTGGTTGGGAGGCCGGCGGGCTGCGGCGTGTGTGTGTGTGTGTGTGTGTGTGTGTGTGTGTGTGTGTGTGTGTGTGTGGTGTGGTGTGATGTGGTGTGGTGTGTGTGGTGCCAATATGTAAAGCAACTGGCGGCTCTGGGCGGGGCCTGGGCCCGATGCAAATGAGGGAGGCGGGGTTATCCTGTGGCTCCGCCTCCCTCCCCCGCAGCTGGGGCCAGCGGTGCCAAGCACAGCTGGACCAGCGGCAGCAGCTGGGCGAGTGACAGCCCAGCTCCGCGCGCGCGGCCGCCGCCAGAGCCGGCGCGAAGGGGCAGCGCGGCCCCGCGGTCCCCGGGCGGCAGCAGCGGCCGCCTAGTCCCGCGCCTCTCCGGGCCCGCAGCCCCGCGGTCCCGCCGCCCCGGGGCCGCCACCTCTCGGGGCTCCCCCGGTCCCCGCGCGCGCAAGATGGCTGACCCGGCTGCGGGACCGCCGCCGAGCGAGGGCGAGGAGAGCACCGTGCGCTTCGCCCGCAAAGGCGCCCTCCGGCAGAAGAACGTGCACGAGGTGAAGAACCACAAATTCACCGCCCGCTTCTTCAAGCAGCCCACCTTCTGCAGCCACTGCACCGACTTCATCTGGTGAGAGCGCGCCGCGCGGGCCACCTGCCCGGGGCCCCAGAGGGCAGCGACACGCGTGGGGACCCCTCTTGCCGTTACCGGGGGAGGAGGAACCGTGTGCCCATCCCCATCCCGCTGGACCCTTCTGTCCCGCTCTCTGGGATGACCAATCCCGCAGGTGCTGGGTCCTCTGGTCCCAGACGGCTGGCCGCCAGGCGCCTCCTGCCCTCTTGCACTCTGTCGCCTGAGCGCCCAGGGACAGCGCCGCAGGCGCCTTTTCGACACCTGGCTCAGGGCGCAGGGTGGCTGTCCCTCCTCGGCAGGGCAGCTCCGCGGGTGTCTTTCTCGCCTGGGGTTCCCGATCTTTCTGCCTTCTTCCGGGCTCGAGGCGCTTCAACCCTCACCCCTCCTTTCCGGGGCAGCTCCCTGGGGTGTCCTTTAGATCCCCGGGGCGTGGAGCATCCTTCCTCCCTCCGTGTCCCTAGAGTAGAGCCCTGGGTTATCGCTTACTGCGCCCCCAGAGTCCTGAGCACCCCCCCCCCATTTATTCCTCAGTTCTCACCCTCACGTCGCTGCAGGACCCTTTATTCCCCCTGCCTCTCCAGGAGTGGGGCGACCTTTTCTTTCTCCTAGTCTCTCAGGGGACACCACCGCGGAGGAGTCCCTCTCATCCTCCTTTTCTCTTTCCCAGAGGGTACTCCCGGCATCTCCTTGGGCAGATATCCAGCCCGCCTTCCGCCCCCACCCGGACGGAAATGCACCTTCCCATCCCGCCACCTGGTGGTTGCGGTGTTGTCTGAACTGCAGGGGAGATGTGGGGTGGGGGTTACTGCCAAGCCCCCACAATGTACCCCACAATCCCATCCAAGGCGGAAGACTCTTGGACCCCGGCCTATAGCTAGGAGATTGCATCTGGGGTAGAGGGACAGTGGGAATGGAGGGGGCTACTGTGTGAAACTAGGTGACTGGACCCCTCAGACTGATATTCCTCCTTGTGCTTTTACAGGGGCTTCGGGAAGCAGGGATTCCAGTGTCAAGGTAGGCTCTGGGGCTCTGTGGTTGCTGATGGTGGGAAGAGAGGGTAAAACAGACTTCAAAGACGTGTCTGAGTTAGGCAGAGTGAAGTAATCTTGCTGTCAGAGTGACCTCCCTGGCTAGGAATCCTTCACCACCAAAGGGTCCTTTTAAGGGGTGTGTGTTTGGGCCAATGATGCACCATCCAGGAAAGGCCAGTGGAATTGGAAGGCCCTAAATGTCACAAAGTGCATCCATCCCTCGGCCTTCTGGGCATTCTCCTAGAATTGCCAGCCCTGTTTAAGTGAGGAAATGTCTTGAAGGACTCTTGCGTGTGGAGGGAACCCCTCTCTTCCTAATTCTAGCCCCTTCCTGCTCACCGGCTCTTCCTCACCCCCCAGGAGGTTCAGCCTCTTTCCCCTGCTTTGCAGAGGTCTCAGCAGGTGGCTGCCTCCTCTGCAGATGGCGCATCCCCTAGAAAAGCAACTGTGGTTTCCCCCGGGCCTCCTCCCTCTCTGAAAGGGGTGGTCCCAGATAGGGTGCCTCTCGGATCCCGCCTGAGGTTGCCCTTTTTAACTTCTGAGGAGGCACAGGAAAGACTCCAAGAGACTGGTTACCTGGGTTCTTGCATCTGGCTTGAGAGCCAGGATTCCAACTAGGGGTGCCCTTCAAACATCAGGGACCTGGTGGCCTCTCCTGTCTACAAGATGAACTGTGGGCTAGGCAATGAAGCTTGCCCGGAGAGTGCTTGCTTTGTGCCAGGGAGGCTCTGGAGTGCATCACCCGAAACGGGGGAGGGGAAAAGATGGGTTTAAATTGGATCTCCAAAGATGACTAGCTTGTGGACTTGTTTAACCCTTAGAATGCCATAAACAGTTTGTGAATTTGGTGTTAGCATCCTAGAACTGCAAGGTCTCTCTCTCTCTCTCTCTCTCTCTCTCTCTCTCTCTCTCTCTCTCTCTCTCTCACACACACACACACACACACACACACACACAACCTCATGCACACAGCTTCAACTTGTTGAACATTGACTCTACTTTTATGCTGAAGTAATCATTTGGAACTGAGGGCATCCATTTATCAAGACGGGACACATTTACCGCTGTGTCTGTCCATCCAACGCTGGCCTACTTCTGATCTCCTTAGCCACTTGAATTTGCTAGTTTGTTCCCCCTTCCCCCTTTAGGCCAGGTGTGGCTGAGTTTAGTCAGAAATGGTTCTTTATTCCTCTCCTCCCCTACTTTTCTCCCCCCCCCCACCTCCCCTCCCCTGCCCTTCTCTCTCCTCCTATCTTTCCCCTCCCCTTTCTATCTCCCTTCTCCTCCCCCTTTCTCTCTTCCCTCTCAGTCTCACTTTGTGCCCAGACTGGCCTCCATCTGGATGTTCTTCCATGCTCCTGTTTTGGACTCCCAAATGCTGGGATTACAGGTGTGCTCAGAGGCAATTTGACATCCACCACCCTGTAAACTGGGCTTCAATCTGGAGAAGAAAGCATATGGGTGTGGAATAGCCTGAAGTGTGTCTTAGTGCCCACACTTGAGCTCTGTCTTGCAAGGTTACTCTGCAGGCAAACATAAAAAGACCCCAGCAAGCAGAGGTGGCTGTGTGATTTGCATGGAATGCTGACCTGTAGTATATGTGGCCTGCGGCCTTAAGCTGCAGGTTCTTATTTGAGTTCTGGAGTGAGGTGGGGGGAACCTTCTAGACCTTTCCAACCTCCTTTGCTAAGATTTGGAGCCTCGGTTTTATGCACCACACAGAACTTCCCGAGTCCCTGCCTGTGGCAACAAGTTAGGCCAGAAGCACAGTCTGGATTGTTTTCTAGAACTTTTTCTCATCTTCTCAAACAAAACACTGAGGGTGACTTGGTGTTGGAACTGCGCAGTCTCTATGAGGTTGCCTTTCACTTCCATGAGTTGGTTTCTGTTTTTGTCTCTTGCTGAGGTCAGGGGTGATTTTTTAAAACATTGATTCTGCGGCTCTCCTGTGCCACCTGCTCTGCTGTTATTGATGGCTGGGAAAGTCAGCTTTGGAATGTGCGGGGGATGGCACATATGGAACAGGAGATCCTTTCATCCAAAGCCCAGGAAGTTTTTTGTTTTTTGGGGAGCAGAATGAGAAAAAAAAATCAGAATTAAAGTTTTCAGGAAGTCTGATTGACTTTGGGGATAAGACTTTCAGGGGCTGGTCGGAGCATTTGCCAGTGTGCTGACTCCCTGGACTCCCAGGGACAAAGCGAAGGATGAGAGACAGGTATTTCAAAAGTCATTTCTCTTTTCATTTTTCCACCCCTTAGATTCCTGAACATCTGGTCCTCTGTGTTACTGCTTTGACAGTCTATTCCATCTGAGTTGGAGTGGGTAGGAGGAAGAAGAGGGGGCGGGGCAGATTGATGGGCCCTGAACTGAGCTGCTTAGGATGAGGTACATCCCAAAAGGAGGGGAGGGAGTTTATCCCTGGTACACAGCGTTGCTTGGGACTAATTCTGGAATCATAGGCAAGCTCCTTTTATCTGATTATTTTCAGTACCTGGTGCCTGATATTTTTCCTTACAATGAATTTACTTAAGCTAGGACCAGCATTTTAATAGAAAATGCACAGGGTTTATTCTTTTACTTAAATCAACAGTCTAGAGTCCTGGTGCCTTCAGTCTACTGTGCTGCCATCCTGGGGAGCAATAGTTATCTCACAGTTCAAGAAGATACTGTTTCTCCAGTTTGCAGGTCTTCTTTCAGCCAGTAGGAAGCAGGAAAGAGATGAAGCCAAAAGACTTATGTTCAGTGGCCCTTAGGGACCCTGTGGCCTTGAGAGACTGTTACATAGTCTGTTGGCTAGAACCTAGTGCCATGTCCACACGTTGTTGCAAGGGAACCTACAGGGCAGCAGTGTTTAGCTCAGGTAGCACATTCCCAGCTAAGAGCTGAGGGAGGGGTCAAAAGTGGAAGCAGAGATTGGCTAGAGCCTCAGTACTCTGGAGTAGGAGGGTGTGGAAGGGTCCCAAGATGAAGAAGCCCTTGCCACTGCCCTCATGCTCCAGCGTGCTGTCATGGAAATTGGGGGTGCAGGTCAGAGTATCCAGAAACCATGGGAAATTATGGATTTTTATAGACTTGGGACACTTTCTTAAGAATAGATTTCTTGCTTTCGTACAGCTAAAGGACAAAGCTCTAGGTGAACTGCCACAGCACTTCACCTCTCCTCCCTCCTCTTTCTTTGATAATAATGCCTCTGGTGACAGAGGATTGGGGCTGAGGATTGCTCTTGTGAAACTGCATTTATTTCAGGTTAGAAATGGGACCCATCTCTAATATCACAGATCAGACCTTTCTTTCTCTAAGGCATTCTTGACAGAAACCCAGAAACTTCATGTTGTGATTAAAATTGTAATTAACACAAACCCAAAAACAAAACAAAAGAAAAAACACAAACCATTGGGTGGAATTCAACTTTTTTTTTTGAAGTCGCTTCAGTAGAAATAGAGAAGCATTAAATGTTCAGATCTAGATTTTATAGCACGGGGTTGGAATCAGACAGAACTGGACTCCAGTCTCTGATCTGCTATCTGCTCATTGTGTGACCTTGGGAAGCCCAT